CCATTTGCCCTTGCCTATGGTTTCCAGGCCAAAGTACCAACGGAGATCCTAGTTCCCACACACCGAACGGTGCATTACAGCCCAGAACAGAATGAAGACAACTTACGGGCCGAAATGCATTTCATAGAAGAAAGAAGGGATTTGGCAGCGGCACGAATGGAAGAGTATCACAGAGCCACGAGAAGATATTTTGACAAGCAGGTTAAAGTTCGTTCAATCGAGGTAGGGGACCTGGTGCTAAGAAAGAGAGAGAAAAGCAAACCGCTCGAAGGGGGCAAAATGGCACAAAATTGGGAAGGCCCCTACCAAGTATGTAAGAAGTATGCTTCAGGAACGTTTGGCCTACAAAATACTGAAGGCCGACCGGCAGGAACTTGGAATGTGGAGCATCTGAGGAAATTTTATCAATAAAAACGGCTGTTGCCACCCAAAAAAAAAAGATATAGAGAGGGAGACATAACTTCCACACAAACTCAGCCCATGGTTAACTCGATCATTCCGGATGACCGAATGACGAACGGGTTAACAACATGGAAGGAAAATCAATTCTCAGCTTAGAGAGTTTTTGACCCTAGATTTATGAAAGAATAAAGGGATCAAAAACGGCTTGAAGAATTGAGGCTCAGAAAATCGGTGCCCGTGGTTAACTCAATCATTCCGGATGACCGAATGACGAACGGGTTAACAGCATGGAAGGAAAATCAATTCTCAGCTTAGAGAGTTTTTGCTCCTAGATTTATGAAAGAATAAAGGGATCAAAAACGGCTTGAAGAATTGAGGCTCAGAAAATCGGTGCCCGTGGTTAACTCAATCATTCCGGATGACCGAATGACGAACGAGTTAACAGCATGGAAGGAAAGTCATTCTCAGCCAACAGCTTGGAGTTTGACGCTCAGATAGTCTCACCTCAGCGGTTAATATGAGAATCGATTCTGGAAAACCGAATGACGAACATATTAGCAGTTTGGAGGGAGCCATTATTTCAGCAAGAGTTTTGACCCTGTAATTACGCATTGATGAAGGGATCAAAATGGCCTGGAGTTCGAAGGACAGTGATTCTCACCTCAGCTTGTTAACACGTAGAATCATTCTGGATGACCGAATGACGAACGGGTTAACAGCTTGGAGGGAGCTGAGTCGTCAACTTAGCCAAAGTCGACCCTGTAATTACGTACGGGCAAAGGGATCAAAACGGCTTGGAGATGGTGTCAAGACTGTAAGATATGGATTAACCGAGCGACGTTCGGATAAGGTACGGATTGTCGCCCGGGGAATCAGAACTATGGTTTTGAAAACTCTCGCCTTAGTCATAAAACTTGACTTGGAAGCTAGTCGCCCTTTTAGCTATAAGTAAGGAATGACCCAAATTCGGTGATCTTGCATACAGTTCGAAAAGGGTTACCTCAGACCCCTAATATGGATGATACGAGCCAGAGAGAACAGTTCGGAATGCATCGGAATTATGGGTTTGGAAGGGAGATAGCCTCACCTCAGCTTGTTAACGCATGAAATCATTCTGGATGACCGAATGACGAACGGGTTAGCAGTTTGGAGGGAGCCCCTATCCCAGCCGAGAGTTTGACCCTGTGGTCACGATCAAAACGGCTTGGAGGAATTCACCTCAGCTAAGAGTTTTGAACCCGTGCGTCACGAACAGGAAAAGGGATCAAAACGGGTTCGGGAAAGGTGTCAGAACAATTGTGAAGAGAGTCTCACCTCAGCTTGTTAACACGTGAAATCATTCCGGATGACCGAATGTCGAACGGGTTAACAGTTTGGAGGGAGCCCCTATCCCAGCTGAGAGTTTGACCCTGTGATCACGATCAAAACGGCTTGGAGGAATTCACCTCAGCCAAGAGTTTTGAACCCGTGCGTCACGAACAGGAAAAGGGATCAAAACGGGTTCGGGAAAGGTGTCAGATATAAAGATACATGAGCCGAGTGAGGTTCGGCCACGTAGAAAAGATTGTGAACAAAAAAATCAAAGGCAGGATAGAAAAAATACAACAGACAAAGGAAAGAAGTCCAGTTTATTCTTCGGCATTACTAGCCGGAATATACAAGAAGAATGAATATACAAGAATGAATATACAAGAAAAGAGACAACAGATAAAGAAAGAAGGCTACACTAATGGAGGATTGCCGTTCGGGGAGGATGTAGGCTGAGAGTTCCCTGCTTGCACTGCATCATCAGGCGCTGCTTTGGACCTTTTCTCCATAATGCGATCATATGTATTCCCGAACAGATCGTCGAAGCCTAATTCGTCGGGATCGAACGGCTTGGGGAAATGCTCGAGGATCAATTCAAGGTTCCTGTCCAGAAGCAGGTCCTGACTCTGCTTCACAGTTTTCTCGGTCGGGACATCCAAAAAAGATTTCCCTTCCGGCGTGCTGTCCAGAAGATCGATCCATGTTTTGATGGGGTCTTCGCTTTCACGCAAGAATTGACCAAGGTGAGGACCCAGGAATTGCCGGGCCGTGTTCTCCAGAGCGACGTTCAGGCCCTTTCCCCGTTGAAAATCCACTATCGATTGTTGAGCAATCTGGGAAGTATTGACCGTGTAGGGTTCGGGCAGATGGTCGCCAATAGTTTTGTCAAATTTAATACCAGCAGACTCAGCAGCCCGCACCTTGGCCCGGAGTTCTTTAAGCTCCCGATCGCGACGACGGGACATCTCCTGCATCTCGGCCAGAGCAGCTTTTGCCTTCTCACCCTCTTTGGCCTGCTCTTGAAGATCGGCCGCCAACTTCCGAGCGGCAGAAAGGAGGACCTGGCCATCATCCCGATCGCTGGCCAGGGCTTTCATCTCTTTCTCAGCGGCAAGAAAGGCCTTGTGATAATACACGCCAGCCTGAGAACAAGATTTCAATGAAAGTCAGATAAGGTAAAAACATGAATAGTAGAAAGGCATGGGTCGGAATGAAATGTACCTTGAGTGCTTCCTGGTGACCTGCTTCAAAAAGATCCGACCAGTGAGTCAAGTTGGTGAAGCTCGGGGGAACTTTGATCGCAGTATGACACCACATAGAAGATGGCATCAGCCCGAACAGATACCTCCCCTCTGATCTGGGCCCCATATTTGAAAACTCAACAAACATCCGATCATCGATCGGTGTGGAAGTAAGAATCGGAGTTGGTTTGTTGGCAGGCGCCGATCTTTTGGGCTCGACCTCCGGGCCGGTCAAATCAACCACATGGTCGATCGGGATCAGGTGATCGCCATAATTTACTTTGCGCTTTTTGCGGGTTTGCTCCGCCGAGTCACGATCGGCTATCATCTTCTCCTTCCCTTTAGCAGAAGAGATAGAGCGTCGGACGGGTATGGGAGATATCACATCTACAAGAAAGAGAAATAAAAGATAAGAAGTTGAATTGTGAGAGCGAAGGATGATCGGGTTAAAGCCCTACTATGCTCACCGATTCCAGCAGATAACATGCTCGAAGTAGTGACGAAGCTGCGAAGACTTCTGGTCCCTCCCATCCGCAAAGACTCAGCTTGGGAGCGTAGAACGGCGTCTACCCTGGGCAGAGAATCCCGAACGGGATATGCGTTCCACCTATCCGGGAATGGCAGAGAATCACCTACCCGAACGAACAAAAACCGCTCCTCCCAGTCAGCCTGCGGGGTAACGTTCTCTGTGAACAGCTGACGGTCAGAACGAGCTACCAGTTTCAGGTACCCGGTCGTCCAGTAGGGCTGATAGCAGTAATGATAAAGAAAAAGATCGACGCTTGGGGTAATCCTCAACTCGTGGCACCGGATAATGAAGCCTGTCAGAATGCGGTAGGTGCTGGGCACGAACTGAGCAGGGAGTACATCAACCCGGCGTAAGAACTCCACTATGAATGAATGGAGAGGGAACCGAAGTCCAGCAGTCAGAGCATCAAGGTGCACTAGCACGTGCCCCGGTCGGTGCCTCATAGGGTGCCGAATGAATCCGGCATAGTATTCTCTTGGTGGGGGCAACAACTGGCTGAGTTGCCATTCAACATCTTCTGGGAGACGTTGTTTGTGTTTGCGTATGCGATTGAAGTGTAGGGCAATGCGGGGTTGCCGCTCGGGCATCCCCTTGTTGTAAACTTGGAGGTCATCTCCGGACAGAATCCGTCCACCTGTGGCAGTTCGATATGTTTGCTGGCCTGAGGATTGGCGGGTTTAGGTGTTTGGGACGAAGAGCCTTCGACCTGGTTACCAGCGGATGTTTTGCTTTTGCGAATCAAAGGCATCTCTTCAGATTCTGAGCTAGAGGAGTAGTACATAAAAACGCTGAAAGAACTCTGGGAATTCTAGAGAGAGAAGGCTTGAGAGTATGCAAGGGAATTCTGGGAATTCTAGAGAGAGAAAGCTTGAGGAAAAATGAGAAAACAGCAGGAGAAATTAGGGGAAGCACCTCTCTATAAATAGGGAAAGGGCCGCACAAATCCCTAATCCTTGAGCAACACGTGGCATTGGGTGGTTACGATTAATCTGGGGCATTTATGATTCATTTTTTGTGCACGTACCTCGGACGGGCTTACGGAGGATTAGCAAAGATCACAGGGACTTGCTGTTTAGAAAAATGCTAAGTCCTGAATGTCAACCTGAAGCCCGAACGGCTACCAACTTATGAAGAGACCCAGGTGGAAAGAACACTAAGAAAACGGCTAAGTCCTAAACATTGGTCTGAAGCCCGAACGGCTATCAATATTATGAAAACCAAGAAAACTGCTAAGTCCTAAAAGTTGACCTGAAGCCCGACCGGCTATCAACGTCGTAAAAGCTATCCTAAGGATTGATCTGAAGCCCAACCGGCTACCAACGTTGTAAGAGATTATCTTGAGCAAGAATGTGCTAAGTCCTAAAATTTGGTATGAAGCCCGAACGGCTGAGTACCAGAGAGAAGGGGTTTTTCCTTAAATAAATCATCAGAACTTTCTAATGCCCGAACGGCGATCAACGACATTAAGAGTAGTTGAGCAAGAAATAAAGTTAGGAAATTGGTTAAGTCCTACAAAATGGGCCGAATCCCGAATGACGAGTAAATCATGCATTAAAGACAGAAAAGAAAGTACACAAAGCTTCAGGCAAAAAAGGGATATATATTCATCGGTTCTACTGACCGGGAAGTACAGGCTACTTGGAGAAAAGAAAATTACAACAAGAATTAAAAAAAAAGTACATATGAATTATTGACCGGGGGCCATTTCATCTTCCTCTTCATCCTCATCATCATCAGACGGGGGCTCAGGCTCTTTCCCCGCAGCTCGATCAGCTTCCCGTTGCTGGGCTCGCAGAAATTTCTCGAACTGCGCCTGGATAATGTCATCTTGGGGAAGATCGGAAGCCTGAACCGGCCTCCCTAGATTATCTTGAAGTTGAGCAACGAAGGGACGCAGCAAGACCTGACCAATTTTGCCATAGAGGTCTGAGACAATGGAGTCGTTCCATTTTTTGGCCTCGGGGTCCTTGTCCAAGAGGGCCACCCCTGCCGATAGCCGGCCAGCACCCTTGGGAAAACCCTTCAAGTATGCCCCAAAGGCGAACGGGATTTGGGCCCTTGCATGAAAACCCTTCAAGTATGCCCCAAAGGCAAACCCTTCAAGTATGCCCTTGCTCTTAATGTCGTTGATCGCCGTTTCCCGGACGACGGACAGATCCACGTTCACTTCATAGGGACCGTCCGGGATGCGGGATGGCATTTCTTCAAATTTAACCTGTGCGGCCTCAGCAGCAAGGACCTTGGCCTGGGAAGCTGCAAGCTGGACCCGAAGGGTGCCGAGCTCAGCATCCAGCCTCTGCTTCTCCTCCGCAAAGGCCCTCCGTTCGGCCTCCAGAGAGGTGATGGCTGCAGCAGCATTTTGCTCAGCAGAAGATTGGGCGACAATCAGTTCCCGCTCCTTAGCCAGACGGGCTTCCCGCATCTGAAGGGTGTACAAACCCATCTACAGAGTACCGTTCGAGAGTTAGTACTGATTACAGAGAATAAAATAAAACAAAGCGCAAGAGATAACGTACCTTCAGAGCTGTCAAAGCCAGACATTCTTCAGATTGCTCGACCGGCAACTGAGGAAGGGAAAAGTTGTTAAACCCAGAGGAGGTCGACCAGATCTGGCATGCGGTAGAACCAGCCCTTTCTAAAACCTCGTGGACGGGATCAAATAAGGAGATCCGCTCGACCTGACCCGTAATATGATCGGTGTGGGTCTCACCTACATTCGAGGGTTCCCCCCGAACGGAGTCGAAATGCTGAGAAAATTGATGCATTTGGTCAGAGCCGAACCGGTCGTCGACCAGCATGGCCTCGAGTTGGTCCTGGTGGACCTGCTGTATTGGCTGAGGCTCTGGAAACGGTTGAGAAGGGGCAGCATCCTGAGCTGGAATAATGGTGGGAGTAGGTTGGGGGTTCTTCCGGGATTTTTTCCGCTTACCGGCCCCACCGGCTGCGATAACTCTACTGTCATCCATAGGAAGATCTGGGTTTGGTGCTGAAAAAAGACAAAGAACAATGTTAGTATCGAGCGGCCTTAGCGTGTGAGAAACTAGAAAAAAGAATAAAAGAACGTTTCTCGCACGGGAAGGACCGCCCGGACCATGGCACTTGGTTTATCAAAACAAGTAAACCCAAGAGAACGGGCAGTACCTATCCCGGCTGTAATAAGTCGCTCGGGAGTCAGATAACTCATGATGTCCATGCATTTATCCTTCTCCACAGCAAGCACGTCCTTGTAGATTTCTTCAGTCAGGACAGGATCAGGAGTCTTGCGGGGGAAGGCATTCCATTTACGGGGAATTAGACCGTCCGGGACAGACACGAAGAAAAACCGGTCTTTCCACCCTTTGATTGAAGTTGGGTTTCCCTTGAACAGGATGTGTCCCGTTCGGGCACTAGTGGCCAGATAGCCGTGGGTTTGTTGGGGGGCTACTTTGAAGAATTGGTGAAAGAGTTCTAGGGTTGGTCGGGCGCCGGCATCTTTGCAACGACAAATAAAACTCGCCATTGCCCGATAGGAGTTCGGCATGATCTGGGTCGGTACAACTTCGTAGAAATTGAAGAAAGAAATGAAAAAGGGGTGTAGTGGAAACCTAAGGCCGGCCCTAATTGAGTCAGAATGGACTATGGTCATTCCGTGCCTATGACGCATTGGGTGAAGCCCAGCTTGCAAACGGAAATCCACCGGGTCAGGGATAAGGGCCGGAATTTCGGCCCTATTGTGAGAGGTCAATTTTTGCCGCCTCTCCCTAATCAATTTTAGGTCAAGGGTATGGCGAGGAACATCGTTGGGACGTCCGGCCGCCATGGAGGCTATTTCTTCCTCGGATTTGGTGTCGTCGGAATCCTCACTGGAGGAAGAAGAAGTGCTAGGGAGGTCCTCCGCCTCAGCCCTGGTATTCGTCGCCGTCTCAGTAGAAACACCGGCAAACGGAACTGGGATGGCATCTACAATGGCGGTGTCACGGTCATCTCCATGAGAGACCATCTCCGAATCAGAGGAATGCTCTTTGGGGCTCATCTCGATCAAAGCCAGAAATGAAGATAGGGAATCCAGAGTTGGAAAATTACCTGAGCAAAGGAAGCAGGGGGAAATTTGCAGAGGAAAAAACGAAGGCCAAGGAATTGCAGAGTCGAAACCCGGAATTGAGAAGTTAAAGGCTAATTTATAGCCTTGAAACCGCCGTGTCGAGAACCAATCAGAGAGCGACACGTCACTAGGAACATTTAAGCTAAACACGTGTCTAATGAAAAGACTAAACGACGGTTATCATGATGAATATGGGGAAATGAAGCGGCAGCCGTCGAATCGCAGCATGGGGAACTGATTACTTCTGTACCCCGATCGCCATTCGGGGTATTATAACATTGATATACTTCCTAATGCACTCACTTCGTTCGAGACATCGGAAGTGGGGGACTTGTGTTGGGATATTGACCTAGAGGCCCAATACCCAGATCGGGAAGGCCCAAGATATCCGGCCCAAGCAACGGGCCCATCACTCTATGATGAATAGATCCAGTAAGAAGACATACCGAACGGAGTTCGGCCCAAATAAAGATTGGCCCAGTAAGAAGACATACCGAACGGAGTTCGGACTATATATCATACTTGGGCCAATTTGACATCATCTTCAGTACAGCCCAACATCCCGTTCGAGCAACGGCCAACCAGCAAGTGGCCAGGTGCAATTAATGCCAGACTATGACATCAGCAAGTGGAAGCATGGATGACCAAGTCGGTGGAACAACGGCCAATCAGCAAGAGGCAGCCCATGCTCTCCATTAGTATAAATAGAAGGTTTCAAGTCATTGTAAGGGTTAGCATTTCAATACTCAAGTTCTAGAATAGCATCATTTGCCCTTACTTCTTGTATTAAAGCATAGTTTCCGACATACCGATCGGGAATTTCCTTGTAATCAGATTGGTTAATTAATACAAGTGAGCTTTCGAGTTTTAGTTAGTTCAGATCTTATATTTTCTTATACGCTTTGATTCTGGGCCATTCCTGATATATCCAAAGTTCGTGTTGGGCTTTCGGATCTAATGGATTTACCCTCAACATTGGCGCCGTCTGTGGGAAACTTGCAAAAAGTTTCACTTTCTAAACATCCAAAAAACCTCTATTTTTCAAAAATGGTCAGAATCAGCTCCTATCATACAAACGACGATTCACACCGTCACGGGAGGAGTCACACCCCGGGGAGTCAAAACCCTCAGGGACAATCCAGTCGAGGATCGTATCCTCGTTTTAATGGGGATTTTGTGATTCCCGAATATCTGAGAAGAAATCCTCAGGCCATGCGTGACATGGCCCAATTCATGCAGCATATGGCAAACGAAGAGGAAGGAGGTTCCAACTTTACAGGAGAAACTCCACGCGCGGAAACAACCACAGCGTCATCCCGTTCGCATGCCCATCGGGATAATCGACGTAGCACCCCACCAGCAGCGCATCCCAGTTCCAGTGACCGAACCCCGGTCGGGTCACAAGCTAGAGGACCAACTCCCGTCGGTCATCATTTCCAGTATGCCGAGCGGGAAAATACTAGGGCCCCTCAGCGGCATTGGGACCGGGACTGTACGGATATGAGGGTGCCACCACCGCCCCCTTTGACGGCCCAGGAGGAAGAGATGGCCGAGATGAGGAGGCAAATGAATGAAATGCGGGACCAGATGAACAGGGTACCTGTACAACCTGCACCAGTTCAGCTGGGAATTACTTCCCCGTTTACTAGGGAGCTCATGTACGCGGATATCCAAGGGAGTGCCAAGCCCCCGACCGGCCAAATTTACGATGGGGTGGGAGATCCCCACGTACATCTGAGGAGTTACCAAGGGGGACTTATGCTGCTAGGAGCACCCGAGGCCGCCATTTGTCGGTTGTTTTTTAGCACGCTCAGGGGGCCTGCCCAGGAGTGGTTCAGGACACTGCAGCCCGGGTCAATCAATAGCTTTGCCGAGTTATCAGCGTTATTCTTGGCTCAATTTGCTTCCAGTGCCAATCCCAAACGGCACTTCAGCTATTTGACCAGCGTGAAGCAAAACGCCAAAGAGACCCTCAACCAATTCCTGAAAAGGTGGAGGGATGAAACTTTAACAGTGGGAAACATGACGGATGATACCGCCATTACCCTGTTCACGAATGCTCTCCGAACGGGGAAGTTGTACAAAGAATTGAAGAAGAATCCAGGTACGGCGTACGCCGAGGTGTTAGATAGGGCTCGCAAGCATGCCGCCCTAGAAGAGGAGATAATGATCAGCGATAAGGTCATTACGCCTGCTGCCCCGATCAGACTGGCCGATCGGCTGGGTCCTAGCGCAGCGGCCACTTTACCTCCCAAACAAGGGAGATTTACACCCCTGGTCCTATCAATAGCGACCATCTATCAGCACGAGAGGGACAATATTCCCATCCCGACTGATTCTGGACAGTTCATGGGAACGGATGACAATGCTTTCTGTAAATATCACAACAGAAAGGGTCATGCCACCAATGCCTGCAGGGCCCTACAAACAGCAATTGAGGATCTGATCCGAAGGGGCCATCTGGGCAAATATGTGAACAAAGATCCGAATGCAATGGGCATGTTAAAACCGGCCAGGAAACCTAATAGCTGGCGCCGGGATGCTCAACGTGACGCCCAGCCTCAAAATGATGTGTATGTTCCTCCCAGGGATGAGCCAGAGGGCTCGGGAGGCCCTGGAAAGAAGCCTCGAATGGAGGTCAAGGTCATATTTGGGGGCGGGGAGACCGGAGATTCGAACGCCGAACGGAAAAGGTTCGAGCGAAGTTTTTATGTGGGATCCGTCTCCGCTCCCCCCCAGAAGAAAGGAAGGACAGACCCGGTCACGTTCGGGCCAGCTGATTTACCCAATTCTCCAAGCCCCCATAGGGATGAACTGGTGGT